CTCTTCTGATATTTTGTTACTGTTGTCTGGTCTATTTAGTGGCTTAAATTTAGGCCTTATGGCATTAGACAAGACCGAATTACAAATTATTGAAAAATGTGGATCTGCCAGTGAAAAGAAATATGCAAAAATCATTGAACCTTTGAGAAGTCGTGGAAATTTTTTATTATGTACATTGCTACTTGGAAATGTTCTTGTGAACAATACATTAACTATTTTACTTGATGATTTATCAAATGGTTTGTTAGCTGTTATTATGTCAACTATGGGTATTGTTATATTTGGTGAAATTATTCCACAAGCCATTTGTTCAAGACATGGCTTGGCTATTGGAGCAAGAACAGTTTATCTGACCAAATTTTTTATGATTGTTACTTTTCCTTTATCATTTCCAATAAGTTTGATATTAGACAAAGTTTTAGGTGAAGAGATTGGTCAAGTTTATGACAAGGAAAAGTTACAAGAATTGATTCGTATGACTGCTGATAATAAAGTTCTTCAAAATGATGAGGCCAACATCATTGCAGGAGCTCTTCAACTTGCAAACAAAGTCGTGACAGATGTTATGACTAAAATTGACGATGTTTACATGTTAGATATTAATACGACATTGGATTTTGAAACCATGTCTGAAATTTTAAAACATGGCTACACTCGTATCCCTGTATTCGATGGGGAAAAAAGTCATATTGTGAATCTATTAAATACTAAAGAGTTAGCTCTCATTGATCCTGATGATAATACTGCTTTAAAAACTGTGTGTCAATTCTATGACCATCGTCCATTATTTGTGGATGAAGACTATAAGTTAGATGCGATGCTGCAAGATTTCCTTCAAGGTAAGTAACCTGATTTTTTTTGCTTCCTGTGATGTGTTATCATAACATCCCATCCTTGATCCTTGCATCCTTTAAGAATTTTGAGATGATATTTTGGTAATTTTCAACCCAGTTTCCTTATGTCTGTTATAAATGCAGATCAAAGGGGCTAACATGAAACAAGTGTCTCATAGTTGTTTTCCTCATTATGCACTGTATTGCGTTACTCTGTTGCTGAATCAGAAACAGAGAAGTACCGCAATTTGTTTTCCATTTGCCGTCAGAATTCAATCAGAAATGTGGTAAATCCACAGTGTTGTTGCTTTGTATTGAACATTAACTATTTATCTCAAGACTGGAATTAGAAACGTATATAAGAGTAATTAAATTATACCTGAAATGGGAATTGCACTCACTGATCTATCTATTATTAATTTATTCCAATTAAAGATTTATTGCTTGGTGGGCTATTAATTACAGAAACCATTTTGAATCATAATGCATAATTCTTAATATTTTTAACTGCTTTAATAGAAGTGATTAAAAGGTTCAATTTTACAAATTACAAATTTAGGTTAAGAGGTTTTATAAATTTATTTTGCGTACTGGAGACATTGATAAGATAACAGACATCTGATTGGAAATTGGAAAGTTGCAAATTGATTTTATCAATGTCCCTGATAAACATAAAATATTTGGCCAGCCAGCTAATACCTTTTTTAAAGCTTGACTCTTAAGTCCAAATAAGCACTGTTGCAGGTCTTGCTACCAAAGCAGGGCATATTCACCTTTTTGAAACCCCTGTTTGCAACCCTGACTGGGATTTTCAATATTCTTTTGATGTAGGTCTGAGCATTACTTCATTGATTTTCTAACCTACAAAATATTGTTGGTCATGTTCTTTTAACAGGAATTTCTTATAGAACTAGAAACTGCTTGTAATGCAAAGTCATGTAAATTGAATTGTAGTTTTATGAACATTCAGATTTTTAATGTATACATTAACAGTGATAAATGTCAGGTCTAATGTGTCATATCTAATGTAAACATAGTGCCATATATTTAAAGTATGAAAATCTAAAACATTAATGTCAAAAAAATACACCACAGCTATTCAATTTTAAGAGGAAAAAATTTATTACATCCTTTTTCATTGGATTATGAAAGCATGTTTTCATTGTATTTAAAGGGACTTCAGTTAATCAGTAATAATCAGTAATACTGTTCACAGCTTAAGGTCAAAATTTTTAGACTTCAAATACATGGGTGTTCAGAATTATCCAGGTTAAAGTTAAAATGACAACTGGTCTTTCTTGACACCCTGTCTGATATAGAAATAGAAAGTGATATTTCTAGTTTGAGGTATATTAAAACAAGTGCAGATTTAGTATGTCTTAAGACTATTTACTAATCAAGACCCAAATCTACTTTCAAAAATGAGGAACCATTATTTTTTAACATATTTAGTTTTGGCTAAATACAAGCATTGAAATGGAATTCCAGAAATTCTTTATGATTGACTTCCTTGTTTTTTTTTAGCTAATTTTCACAAAAAAATGGGGCTCATCCTACTTTAAGACTATTTTTAACCTAAGTGATATTTAATGAGGGCAATAACTATCAAGTCAGTATTATATTGACAAAATATTAGCATTATTATCACCATATTCCATAATCGCTTTAATATCAATTCTATTGGAATTATAACCAGGAATAGAAAACCCAATGTCGATTCTATAACAACTCTTATATTGATTAGATCGGTTTGCTTCCAATAAGCTTACAATTGATCTACTTTATTCTGTTTCCATGCTAAAAATAACTGGCCTCTCCACAATCTTGCCAACATTAATCAATACAGAATTTTTAGAAGAAATGGCCTTAATTACAATTTCATGTTCTCTTTGACATAGAATTATTTTAAATAACAAAATTTAACGTATTAAAAATCAGTGTTTACGGTTGAATTTGATTGTAGATATCTAAATGTCTAAGTAAGTAATTATTTCACGAGTAAGCCTCCAAGCTGAATGTTGATTTTGAAGATATCTAAATAGTGTGGGCACTGAAATGACTTTTCAATATAATGTGTTAGGTCGTGATGTATTATAAGTTTTAAAAACAAGAACCAAGCCTAACTCAATGTTTCTAGAGATGATTGGGCAGGTTTCCAACATTCCAAGAGTAAAAAATTGTCTTGGAACTCCCCTTATGATACATGATTAGCAATGTAATAAAAATAGCGAAATTATCAATAGAAGCCAAGTAGTCTTTCCAGAAGACATAGCCACTTGACAAACACAGAGTGTTCGTTAAACACATGTCAGTTGTGTCATTGGAATGAAAGTCACATGGAATAAAAGTCACATGGAACGAAAGTCACATGGAATGAAGTCACATGGAATGAAAGTCCATAATGTCATTAAATTTATTAATTGTATCATGAAGTCAATGGAATTAGAGTGAAGTCAATTGTATCACAACGAAGCCAGTAGAATTAGAGTGAAGTCACTTATATCACGAAGTCAGTCTATGAAGTCAGTGGAATAGAAATGAAGTCAATGGAATTATAATGAAGTCAGTTGTATGAAATAAGATGAAGTTGTATCTTGATGAAATTTGTTTAGTTGTTTTCTATCACAAAGAAGTCAGTTTTTGACTTGAGGGCCAGTGAAATTATCACATTCTAAGTCTTTAGAATTTCCTAATCAACTGATTCCTGGTATTTCTTGTTTACTTTAAGAAATAAAACTGGAAGTGAAACCAGACACGATTCCATTAATGATAGTTTTGGAAAATTCCCTGGAGCCTACTCATTTAGTCTACAATAGAAGCAGCTTGATTTTATCTCTTACTAATAACAACTAGTAGTTGATAATAAGTCGAATGTTGTAGTTTTATATGTGTGTTTTTATCTGAGCTCAGTTCATTCAATGCTGGTTGAAGAGGTTTTGAAGTAGAATAACAGAGTTGTTCAATAGATTGTTTGATACAATACAGATCTTGATCATTATACATAAAGAAACAATATTATTTAAAGTGGAAGTGTGGGTGATTTGATATGAATTAAAAGATTTTTACATCATATATTTAAGAGAAATTTATAATCAAATAAAGTTTGATAAAAAGAAATAGAATATGGATTACTCCCTTGACTGACATTAATGGAAAAACCAAACTTGACTTCAAAAACCCATTAATTGTTTCCCTTTTAAGATGTGGTTTATGGAAGATCCTGTTAACCAGCTCTTCTGTGGATGAACCTCTTGGCTCTTGACAACGATTTTTACAGATTATCTACACCCACTTATAGATAGGTTGACTTTAATGAGGCAAGATGACTTATTGAGGTTCACCACACATTGACAGAGATTAGAACCCACAACTACAATTCATTCCACTTAACTTCATGAGATAATTCATTTTTAGAATGTCTCTTGGGAGATTAACTTTTTGAACGCTTCCATGAAATTTGACATTACAAATGACTAAATTTTAAAAATAGAGACCATTCTTGAAATTATTCCAAAGTTGGCAGATTCTTATCTTGATAGTCTATTTATAGTTGTGAATACTTCTCATCTTCCTCTGGAAACACATGTTTTCCCTCATTGAACAATGCATGGTATCTATTTGTGCACTAATTAAAAGGAAATTTCATTTTATTTCTGCCTTTCTAAACTAAGGCAGATGTACCAGGTATATTGTTACTCAGAGTTTCAGGCTCGGTGATCTTCAGACAACTGACCTAGACTATAAGTACTAAGTATATATTTTTGATAAATGCCTCCATGCTTGATTCAAGTTCTGTTTTAATATTTCTATAGTCTAGGTTATGACAGACTAGAATAGAATATAAGATATACACAAAAATCCCCCCGCATTGATCACTGCCTAGTATCTTTTTGTGCAACTCATGAAAGAATAAGTCAAATTAAGCAAATGTACCAGGTAGATGTAACATAGAGGCAGTGGAAATAAAGTGTACTAGTAGTCTAGGTTATATAGACTAGAATAGAATATGTGATATATACATTTATTGTAGGTCACAACCTATGTGAACCTATTCACTGCATGGGAAAGTCTTTGTAATAATATAGAATTTACAATTCTATAGAACTTTGTTACTGAAGTTAATGATTCAAAAGAGGTTTTCTAGACTATAGATGTTTTGAACTGAAATGATATGGTGTTTTACATACTATTCTGCATCTGATGAAGTGTGCAATGAGGGACATTTTGTGGGGATAGCTGCCTGGATACACTTCCAACATCTATTTACAATATTTCTTATCCCATATCAGTGGTTCCTATAGTAAAACTTAACCAAAATGAGACATGACTATCACAAAATCCTATAAGATTCATGTTATTTGCATTGGTGATGTTGCCTTGCCAACTAGGCCTGCTTGAATTGGATATCTTATTGGGTCTGTAGAATTAACATTCCCTTTAATCTGATTTGTATTATGTTATATGATACTATTTATCTTCATATTAAAACTGCTTGAACTGTTATCTGTAAAAAATCTTGTATTGTAAACAGTTTTTATTACACATGTTGTTTTATAAAAATCAATGAGCAGATAGTTGAAGTACGTCATTGACCTACTCAATCTCTTACAGATTACAATATATTTAAAAGGGATTATAAAGAGGTTTTCTAAATTTTGTATGTGTATCGTGTATCAGGAACAATGATAGCATCAATTTGAGCCATTCCAATTTTCATTTAGATGTCTGTGGTTCTAGCAATTCTTTGTGATACAAGCAAATTTCGCTGGGGTGACAACATAAAACACAGACGTCTGATTGAAAATTGGAATGGTGCAAAGCTATTTGTGTCCCCGATGCGCATAAAATTTTTAGAAAATCTCTTTACAATCCCTTAAGTTTGCATGTGTTTTATGTCATTATTAAAAAGGTGCTTTCCCCTGCACAGATTGGTCATGGAATGCCTGAGGCCAGCTTATTCTTCAGTCTATCTTCCCTGGAGCAGCAAAGTTACACACTTAATTAACCTAAAGATTTGCTGTTTAATCTCAACATTTGTCAATACTGTTCTATTGTATGTTAACATCACTAGTCATTTGTCATTAGGCTTATAAATAGCTATAGGCTGTGCATGTCAAACTATTTGTTCTTGACAATGTGTATCTTTATTGGCTAGTAGTGATGATTGTCCAAAAGACATTTATTTAAGCTTAACTATTAGTAAGTTCTAGAATACTTACTAAGTCACCATTTGATATTGAAAATAAAAGAAATGTGGTGCTTTAATTGAATAATAGAACACAATTTTATGGTATAAGGGTTTATAACAGAAACTTTTGTAAAGAAGCACTGGCCTAGGTCACAAGTAGGGACTGTGAATTACAGCATTGGAATACATTTGATAGAAATACTGAGTTTTATTGTACACAAATGTTTTGTGCTTTGTGTTGCCACGCAGTGTGTGAAGTCTCATAATTCAAACAGACAGTTTTCTTAATCACTTCAGCACTTATTGTTCCAGTATCAGAAATTGCAAATGAGAATTTGTAATTAGTTAGGTCTAAAGGGACCTTTAGTGCCAATTGAAGAAATTTATCATGTTTTGAATAATTATAGCAAGAAACTGAATTGTATTTTCTATTTTTTGTAGGCTTTGAAGCATCAGTCCTATTTGAAACTATTTTTATTTTTTTTTGAAGACATAATAAAAAAAAAATTTCCCTAAGTTATTTTCACACTGTATTGTGATTTCCATTTTCAAATGTTCAAACTAGAGCAGAAAAGTAGAATTAATAACTCCATTTTAACAAAAGTTTCAATTTGTTGTGTATTTAATAGAGCCATTAAAAATTATGTGAAGGCTATAAATTTTGAAGGAGTTAATAGATAAGACAACATGTCAGTTTGCCTCAATGTCAGTTACCTCAATGTCAGATGTCAAGTTTAAACAGGTGACTATATATCATAGTAGATTTAAGCTTATAGTACATAAATTTAGTGGTTATAAATTATTTACTCTTTATAAAGTTATCTATGATTTAGATTACCTGATTTGTTTAACAATAATTTTATCAATTTACTTCTGATTATACGAGTATGGCAAAACCTGTCCAAAGTGTCTTTCATATCAACATTGATTAATAATTAACAAGTTATAGATTTGAATTTAATATTGATCATTTTCGATGACCTTTTTGATAATTTTTTTTTTGACTCATTCATGGTGCATCCCATTTTCAGGAAACTTGGTTTTCTAGGATATTTCAAGAACTTTTGTACTCAAATCAGACCACTTCTTGGTTAAGCATTGTCTAACAGTTTCATCTTTTAACCAATTCATGCCATTATAATTTTTGTCATAATGCAAATACATAATGGCATTACGACCTCTGAACTTCACGATATCTTTGGAAATAAAGTTGAACTTTAAAACCCACCTGAAGCTCACCAAAAAAATGTTAATCAGACTTGATTAAAGCTGCCTTAGCTTTTGTCTGAATGCAATGATATTTCAAGAACTGCTATACACAAATCAGATGGCTTCGTGAGAACCACTGTCTGAGAGTTTCTGTCATTGATTTCACACCATCTGACTAACTAGTCTATACTACTAGGTGTGTTCTGAGTATATAGGTCTGGGATTTTAAATCATTAGCCTATTTTTATATTCTATTGACTTACAGAGAAATATTGGTCAACGTATTATAAATATTCTCGACTTTTATGATGCCAATAATCTCTGAAAATTGGACTTCATGAAGCTAGCTTCGTTATAGAATTACTACCCCTTAACATACATAAACTTAAATTTCACAAACTAGGCTACTTAGGGTATATATTCATGTAAGCGGTTTTTTTGATAATTAGACAGTTTTTGGATTTATCAGATGATCAGGGTATTCTGTTGTATAGTTATGGTATAAGGTAAATACACTGTTATTGGCCAAGTTTGAAAATCTTGAATTTATATTCATTCTAAGAGGTAGTACTCCTTTAAGTATCATAGATAAATTATGTAGAAACCCTGGATATATGTCAGAGTTTAGTACTAAAGTCAGTAGGTTATAGAAGAGTTATAAGTTTTAGTATGACATTTATGTTGATTTAATAACAAAAGGCTGCACCTAATATAAATTTATACAGATTTGACAATGAAACTTGATGTAGGTTAAATAACAGTTGATAACCTGTTTGATTATGAGATATATTTTAGTATAATTTGTAGGTCTAAAGATTACTTTTAGATGATAAATTGCTTGAATTATTGACAGTGGAGGCGCCAGCCTTCCCAGATTCAGGGTACAATAGGGTTTAAAAAATAGAATCGAATGGGTTCATTCTAACACATATTTTGGGGCAAAAAGTATATAAATCATATTTGTGAAATTGTTTGAAATGAAATTGAGGTACATTTTGGTGTTAAAAAAAAGTTTTTTTAGGGGGACAATGAGGTACTAGTACCTATATTCTTTGAAAGAGGCCAAGAGGAATGGATCCTGATGAACATTGTAAAAAATGGTTATTTCTTGCATTCCAAGTTTCCCGAACATAATTGCATAGTGACATTAGGTGTTCTGAAACCACTTTAATGGAATCACAGCTCTTAATCTGTTTTTGTTGATAAATGACAATAGTACCCATATCATCATTGGCTTTATGCCAGTTAAGAAAAAAGCCTTTATGTATAATATCCAACTTAATAATGTTTGATAAACGTTCTATTTATATACAAAATCATTGGCCTATATTTATTACATTTACCTTAGAGAGTTTGATTATTATACCATATTATTAATATTGTAAACTCTCTTAAATTAACTTACATCCTTCTATTCCCCATGCTTGGAACATCAACGTTTTTATAATGAATGGAGTGTCCAATGGAGTAAATTTTAAACAGTTATGTATCTTTTAGGGTGTTTTTAAGACTGGGCTAATTTTCTCATTGTCCACTGCCTGGTTGTGGATATATATCTAAAAGTGTAGCACTTTTCATTTCCTGGCAATAGTAATGCTACTGAAAGGAAAAAGATTTCAAAACAGGAAAAGTTGAAAGTAAAACTAAGCTTGTTAACAATCAATTTTGTTTATTTACCACTAAAACTATCTATATTTAACTTGACAAAGTTGTTTACAACTTGATGAATACATTGTCAACAAAACAGATGACGTTATTTTTTCAAACTTTCAATGTTTCTTGTTCATTTCCCTCTTAACTTTTTAACATCATTTGGCCTCTGAATCATGGTTTCCTTTGACAATTTTAAAGGGCGAATATGATCAACTTAATTGTGTTGGAAAATGAAGTTCTTCAATATCTTTATGACATTTTGTTTGATTTCAAATTAAATATTAAAAAATCAGTACAAGCAAGACAATTACGTTTATCAAAATCTCATCCAAAGTATGGCAAAATCAAGAGTTAAGTTGTGTGGTAGTGGACTTCTCCAAAGAGAAGTACCATCAGGTGTTTTGAAAAGAGTAAGCATGGTCTGCTTTGCGCGCGACACTCACCACTACCACAATGGTAAAAATCATGAGATACAACCAGATCAATTCAGGCCTGACCAAACAAATCAGCCAAGTGTACCTATGTTATAGAAATTGGAATTTTTTTTAGCTAAGCCAATCAGTAATTAGTGTTCACAGCTTCAAATCCATATATATCCAGAATTCCAGAATTATCTGCATTTGAAAGTTAAAAAGACAAGTCATCTTTTCTTGAGACACTGCCATATATAGAAAAATCATCTATAGAAATAGGAAAAGAAATTCCTAGTTTGAGATATTTTTGATAGAAATATGCATACATTTCTATTATTTCTGAAGACTTTTTACATATATTCAAGACTCAAATGAACCCTCCACACCTTTTAATATTTCATTTTATGAATAATAAAAAAGATTTGGTGTGTTTTTGTTATTTCTGTTGATCAATATATAAAAGAGTTTGGATTAGAGAATGTTAAGCAGTTATTGATTTCTTAAAATCATTTCTTTACTTCTTGTATAATGCATAAAGTAGCCTATGTATATAGTGACCTATGATAGGAAATACAATATGAAACTGATATCACTTTGATATCTCAAATCAGATTTTACCTCTTTTTTAGAAGCTCTGTGCTAAGCAAATATGATACCCATTCTGAAATATTGATGGGATTTTAATGTCATTGGAAGAAGGCAATTGGTTTTACTGGAAACTAATAATTTTAGTGATGCGGAAAGAAAATTACATAAAGGGAAAAAATATAATTTGATATTGCGTGGTGATTCATCTTCTTTGTTATTACCACGTATCAACTTTCCTAACATGCCTTTATATTATTAAGAAGTTTTTATACCATGTTTTTCTGTGGCATAAAAGATGAAGATGTCCATGAAAGGCACGAAACAATCTATTTTGAACTTGATATATTCCAGGAAACTCACACATGGCTATAGTTCAAGTTCTACACAATGAAAACGATTGTGATCCATATTATGAAATAACTGGTGTGGTCACATTAGAAGATGTCATAGAAGAAATTTTACAATCTGAGATTGTGGATGAAACAGATATTTTAAGTAAGTTCTGTTTGTAGTGGTCTAATTACATGAGAACTGGTCATTTTAACTTTGGTTATTGAGCTGACAGAGATTGTTCTAAGATTTCCCTATCATATTCTAGAATGAAGATTTGACATTTGCTTCTTCTGCTATTGGGGAAAAAATTACTTCTAGATGAAGTGTCATCTTACTACTTCTGCAAAATTATCATTATTCTTTCCTGTCATTATCATTATTCTGTGCTGTCATCAACATTTTTATGTACTGCCTTTATCTTGTTTTGTACTTTCACCTTTATCCTGTACTATCATTATCGTTCTTTTTACCTGTCACCTTTATCCTGTACTATCATTATCTTTCTTTGTACCTGTCACCTTTATCCTGTACTATCATTATCTTTCTTTGTACCTGTAACCAAAATCCCGTACTAGTATTATCTTTCTTTGTACCTGTCACCTTTATCCTGTACTGTCATTATCTTTCTTTGTATCTGTCACCTAATCCCCTACTGGCATTATCTTTCTTTGTACCTGTCACCTTTATCCTGTACTATCATTATCGTTCTTTGTACCTGTCACCTTTATCCTGTACTATCATTATCTTTATTTTGTACCTTTCACATTTATCCTGTACTATCATTATCTTTCTTTGTACCTGTCACCTTTATCCTGTACTATCATTATCTTTCTTTGTACCTGTCACCAATATCCTGTACTATCATTATCGTTCTTTGTACCTGTCACCTTTATCCTGTACTATCATTATCTTTCTTTGTACCTGTCACATTTATCCTGTACTGCCATTATCTTTCTTTGTACCTGTCACCTTTATCCTGTACTATCATTACCTTTATTTTGTACCTGTTACCTTTATCCTGTACTGCCATTATCTTTCTACTGTACTGTCATTATCTTTCTTTGTACTCTCACCTTTATTCTGTACAGCCATTATCTTTCTTTGTACTGTCATATTCATCCTGTGCTGTCATTATCGTTCTTCTGCACTGTCATTATCTTTCTTCTGTAATGTCATTATCTGTAATCTGTACTGTCATTATCTATATTCTATTTTTAGCTGATAATAAAGGGAAGGCACCAAGAAGGAGAGAAAAGAGAGATTACAGTGTGTTTGAAAATGAAGAAAATGCACCAAGAATTTCACCTCAGTTAGCTCTAGCTACTTTCCAATTCCTCTCAACTAGTAAGTTTTTTTTCCTTGAATCTCTGACATATATATAGAAAAGACATATTTAGTAATAGAAAGTGGCGTTACCATCCCTTTAAGTAGAGAGCTTGAAGTTTTAAACCAATTACCTTCAAATCTTGATTGATGTTTATAGATCCAGATGGTAGAATTGATTAAGTAATCATTCTTCATTTCTGTCAACATATTGTAAAAGCTTAGCACCAACTTGTTGAAGTCTGTGAAATATTATATGAATGAATGAATATGAATTGATATTGAAATAAAGTCATTTAGATATTGAATTGTATAGTCATTAAGCTAATTGTAATTAAAATGATATAAAGAGCTGTAAGCTAGTATTGTGAAATGTTGTTATTATTTTTGTAGCTGTGGATGCTTTTAAAGAAGATTTTATATCTAGAAACGTGATCAAGCGTCTGATACGACAGAATATTGTAGTTAATATACATCCTATAGATCCACCAGATTCTGATAAAAACTTTATTTATCAAAACGGCAAAGAGTGTGATTATTTTGTCCTTATATTACAAGGTATTTCATATCTTATGGTTTGGCTTTAATCTTAATGTTTTGTTTCCTGCAATTTTCTGTGGGTGATTACATTTGCTATCCATGATCTGATGAAATTTCTCTGCATCTTGTGTTCTAGACCATGTAATATTCAACCAATCTGAATCAAATGCTCTGCTCGATAAAAGATTTGTTTACAATGCTTTTGATTTTTTGAGCAAACATATTCTTGATTGCATCAAGAATAGACCTGGGAACTTACAATCTGAATGCCAAAGCAATGTACAAATGTGTATATGTTTAGTAAAAGTGATTATTGTTTGTGTTATTCAAGGTCATGCTGAAGCTCTGATAGGAAAAGAAAAGATGGTGTTTGAGGCTGGTCCATTTAGTTATTTTGGTATTGATGTATTGAAGAGTGAGTATATGATATTACTTATACCTTTCTCAACTTCAAATTTTGATGGTTAAATATTAAGAAGATGTAGGGCCACTGAAGGTTTCTTTATGATATTTGACTTACTTTTTTAAAACATAGCTACAAGCAAAGGAATATCGGATATTGTTGAAACATGACTACTTTGACTGAACAAAATAGACTAATGTAGAACACAATTAAAAACTAAAGTGTTAATTAGTATGTTAATTAAGCCATTTATGTGTTCATCACAAACCATCAATAATTTATGCATAGTATATCACATGGTATGAACTTAAAATGTTAAATCATTGCCACAAGGCTTCCTACAATAGATATATTTAGAGATTTAAACTCAAGAACACCAAGGCATATTTTTTGAAAAATTGGTATTATGTCTAAATACAGGTCAGTTTTTGCATATTTGCATAGGAAGAAATTGTAGGACAGAAGGGAGGCCATGGAAACAATTTCTGGACAATAAAGCCGTGCATGTGAAAAGCTCTTGACAAAGTCTGTGACATAAAAACTTGAATTTGATTTTGTAGATTTACAGTACAGTACAACACAAGAATATCATCTGGTAAAAAAAGAGAAATACATCCCCGACTTCTCCTTACGAGCTGTAACTGATTTACAATTTTTACGGATCAGACGTGCCCACTATTTGGCTGCCAGACGCACTACTCTCATGATGAAAAAAGTTCAACATGGTCAAGACAATATTATTAAAGAGGAAGAAGCATTTACGAAAGAGTGGAAACAGGCCCTGAATGCCTCTTTAAGTTGGAACAGCAGTGCACTAAATGTGTCTGATCCTAATTCACTGGAGAATGGTCTTATGAAGAGAACGTTAACAGATGAGTTAGTTAAACCAAGATCTAAGAGTGAATTGGAAGAGAGTCGATCTCAAGCCTCTGCTGATTATTCTCCTAAAGCTTTACTGGAGCTGAAATTAAAAAGTTGTTCAGTTGATGATCTCCCACCTAAAAATGTCCTGCGTAAAGATAGCATCAAATCAGACCAGGTAGTGATCAATCATGCGGCTAAATTTCGAGCCAGTAACTCGGAACTGGTTCAAATGATTGATGAAGAGAAGACTCCGTTGATGCAACAAGAACAATCGGATGATAAACTTATCCAGAAATCAGCCACTAGTTTATAGTATATATCTGGGCATCAATCTTGATGCCTGTTTTAAATTTTACAGAGTTTTGCACATATATGTAATTAGAGGATTTGCTACATGCTGAAGTTAAGCTACACACCTTTGAGAAAACTAGAATCACCGATTTTAACAGCATTTACAGAAGTCCAATTTTAAATCAGGACAAATATTTTGAGTATAGAGAAAGACAAATTGTTAAAAATTTTGTTCCTTATTTTATTTTTAAGTGATTATCCGAACAAAATCTAAATGGATAGTTTTAGTCATTTCACTTCATGTATCATTTTGCAGATTTAAAATCTGATGTTATGTTTGTCTGCAATTAAATAAAAACAAACTACATTAACCAATGGAAAGAATCTTGCTCCTGAACATATGTTTCTGATATTATAGATCATGATGCAAATTACAGTTGTTTTTATATTTGATTGTAGACAATCAATATGTCTAATATCCTTAATAAGGTTCTATCAGCTGAGAATTTGGGTGGTGCTCGATTGGATTGGTCTGAACAGGTTCTGTCGGTTTTAATTCTGCTCTCAATCAAAAGGTATGGAAGCATTCAAAATTTTCATATTTTCAAAATTCTGTCTACACTTAATATTTCTTCAGCACACATGGAACGCATTCTGAAATCTGTTTTATTGAACTACCGTGAATCCCTATCATACAGAATACACCAATCAAACGACCCCCCTGGTATTTGGATCAGATTAGGTAATTGTGATCAGACTCTCTAGATTTCTATGTTATTATAGTTAAAGTTTTTAATAGTTTAAATAAGAGTTATTTGTATGATTTCTTCTTTTTAAAAGTGTATGGTAATAAACATGTAGGACAGTAATTGCCTATTTAACATATATAACTGAGTGCTCATGAAGTATTCTTGCTCTTATTCTTATGTTACTAAGTTTGCTTTATTTCTATTAAACATTATGAAATACTGATATTTAACTACAATTGTTGTCTGAAGTTGAAATGTTCACACATACTTATCTCCCTTTATGTGTAGTTTTGAATTGAAGTGATAAAAGGACTACTATGAATGCTTATCCTTTCAAGCTTTCAAATGATTATTCGGGCATTATGCAAGGGTGAAACTGCTTTTAGAAATAAGCAATTACATTGAGGGTGCTCCTTCTTACCATAGTAAAAAATTAGAAAGAAAATTTAATTAGAATGTCTTCTGGCTCATAAAAATATAATGTTGGTGATTTTACTATTGAAATGAGCACACTTCTCTCCCAGAAATTTCAAGTGAAAATTCTCTCTAAAATAATTTACCATGGATTGGGTCAGCTTTTAAAAACTACAAAATATCACCATAATCTTAATCCTTTTTATTCATTGCAATTTGCAAATTTAAAATGTAATTAATTAATGATACTAAATACTGGACACAGAATAAAAAGTGCCAAATACTACCTGTTCAAATTTACCTGGCTGTTACTTGATATTTTGATAAGAATCCGTCTTACATGAGGATGGCATCAACAGGTTTCGAAGACGATATCACTGCAAATTTCCACAAAACGTACATCAAAGTGAAATCAGATTTGACAAATCAGTTGCAATCAAATATAATCAATTATAACTATTAATTAATTATAACTGCTGACAGTTGGCATATGTTATCTTGCCTTACAACTTATATCTTCGAATCTTTGGTTTTGCTGAATTTTATCAAAGTTCGCCTCAATATAATTTTCAGGCAGAGCAGTTTTTTTTGTTATTTTGATGTTATTTTGTATTATATTTTGTACCAAAGTTTTTTTTATATATAACCGAAGAATTTGTATAGTGATAAATAATGTATTTTCTTCTTTTATATGTTAATACCCTGGTTTTCTTTTTACTATAGTTTAAATATAGTTGCCATACTTCAGAACTTACAATAAGTTATTTTGTACTTGATCTAGTCTTTGTATTCTTTTGTTTTGTCAGTGGCAAAAATTCATTTACAAATGAAAAATGTGGATTTTGTCCTAGATTACAGTACTGTTAGGTTTTGAATGCCTCTGGCACCATATTTGGAACACAAAACTTTAAAGGTAGCATGTTCAAATATAATTGTACTCAATTTTGAAGTCTACTACAGATTAGATTGGATGTGGTCCTCTAAAAATTCAATGTCATTAATGGAAAATATACTGTGGTCATCACCCAACAAGTTTAGATCTATATGTTATGACATTAATAATGCCCTATAAAGATGATACTTTCTGCATTATGTTTTTGTTGAATCACAAGAGAGCCAGAATCTGAGAAGTGTTACAGATTGCTGAAATGCAAATTTCAGTTTTATCCCCTTTTTTTCAATTGAATATATCAATTTTTACTGAGCTTTTATAAGCTTCTTCTCTAAGTGATATTTAATATTTTGAAAAGATGGTGACTATTGGAATATGCCATAATAATTGTTTGATATGTGTGTCAACAGTAGAGGCCATTCTGTTTCCAGCTTTCAATGGGTAAAAATTGGGGCAACCAATAAATCATCAAGTATCTTATACATTTCTGAAAGATATAGTTAATTATAAATCTGAAGTAGTCATTATGAAGAGTTTTAATATTTACCGTCCATTATTCAACATATGATTTTATCTCTTCTTAAAGGGATAAGGTACTTAATTTTTGACATAATAATTGAATCAATGCTTATTGAAGATATTGGTTGGAGCTTTAATGAATGATTAAATAACCTAATCCCTTAAATTTCCCTGATCCTTCATGGGCCCTGAGGAAATAGAAATTTCAATCGTGGGGTTTTAATATTTTATCAGATTATTCTTAACTAGAATTATTCCTTTCTTATTTTGATGAGTTTTCTATGCATATAATGTAGAATGATATCACTTAATAAATATAATAAACTAAATGAAAATATGACTTTGTTTTTTTTATACAAAACAGAAATTTTTCCATATTCGATTAGCTATCTAGAAGCCCTTATAATTCAAGCATTTGGTTTTTGATGCAGGTCTAGCATGATCAACCCCTGCGTGTATTAACTTAATATTGAACGCCGAGGTAAAAGGGATAACATATTTATAAGAACATCCCCTGATAACCAACACCTTCATCAAATTGGGAAAAAACGAAAAACCAAATGCTACAAAATAAAGAAACCTGCCCCTGTATTTGTCATTGCAAAAGTAAATAAACATAAATTTGTGAAATGCAGTTTATTTTACCGTCGTAGTCCATGTACGAAGTTCGTAATAGCTTGACATTATGAAGATGTTGTAATATGGGGTCCGTCCGTCTTGAATTTAGAGCTGTCTGTTTTCCAAGGCACATTCCCGTATACAAGAACGGAAATCATAGAAATTGTTTTCGTTGCCTCCCATTCCACTATAGTCCAATCTGTAGCAAGTATCATGTGCCGGATCATAGTAATATCTCATCTCTATCTTCGACCCATCACCTTGATGAGGTTCCAAATAACAATCTGAAAAATAGTGAAGTGTTGATGCTACTATTTAGATTGTGAAAGGTAAATGTCACATACAGTTCTGGTGTGAATATAAACTAAGGTGATTTTACTAAAGATCATGCCCATTTCAGACTGTAGTTCAACTAGACGATTGGGGGCTCGTGGACTTAAGTGAATTGGGGCTCCTCTCCGGAAATTTTTGTTTAAATTAGGACATAATATCGCCCATGGTAGAGCCCATGTATACGTTGTGGACCATTTTATAATTATTGTGTTAATCTTTTAATCGCTTTGGAATATATTTATCAATTTTGTATTATTCTGTTAGTAATGGTATCAGTATAGCCACTGATTTAGTTTACAATGGGTCCACATATTGATATTAAATCTCGGTTTAAGCTAACACAATATTTGCTCAAAGGAAGGGACAAAATATAGTCCTCGAGAAAAAATTGTACCCTTTCAAAACAGACAGATAAGGAAAGATGACCTCTTCAAGATATCCATACTATCGCACTTTGATCGTGATTAAGATTATTGGAATTTCCATATAAAAAAATAAAAAAACCACAGAGACCGATGGACTGGAAATGCTTAAAAACTGTGTTGTTAAACTTACGAGAATGGTGCGGTTTACACTTCTTCAAGCAATCGTACATACTGTGAAAATTATTACCATTTCTCTGGCAACCACTGTAGACAAATACTTCACACATTCCTGATAGCTTGTTGAAATAGTACCTCTCTTGGATCTCGGTACAGTTACCGGCAACCATTGGTTCCATGCATTCTGAAAGGACAACTCCACATCAGTGGCGGCGTTATGGTACAGCTGGGGACCGAGTGAATGGGGGGATGTTGTCGCGCCAGTGCCAATGTCTAGATTCAAAATCAGCAGCTTTGAGCCTTCCGTGGAGCATCTTCATTTCCTCTTTTTTCTTTTTTTCGTTGAAAAATATAAAATATTCTTAGACATGTTTGTATTGAAGTGGGGGGTAAAATTGGGGATATTTATAGACATATATTTTGGTTTTAGAAAAGGTCATATGTCTCCAAAAGGTTGTGTTTTTTTCTTGAAACAAAACGGAAGTTATGAACCCTAGAAAGCCTAAGGATAACAGATTTATCGATATAGCTGGAATGAAGAGAGTCGAAGCACAAAAATGAAAATATGTACCTCGTTCTGGGCCACATATCTCTAAACAGTCATTTCTGGTAGAAAATCTATTTTCATTGCCCCGACAGCCAGAGTAAGAAAACATATCACATCGTCCTACTTCAGCATTCCAACCAAACTGTACTTTACTGTAATCATAATCGCGATTATCACAGATGCCTCTATCAATTGGTAGATTGCAGTCTGAAAAAAATCATATCTAGCTGTAAATATTTACGAACACGGTTTTAATAACATATCACTGACGCCTGGCACCGTTTCATTTTTTTCTTAAAAATGAGATCATTCCAGTTTGTAAAAAATCAGGATGCCAATTTTCAGTTCGACCGGCAGAATTCATTATCAAACTGGATTTTCCATTACAGCTAACAGCTGATGGAATCAAGATGGATCTGATCAATCGCTAGATAGTCGAACTAAGATCATCGATTACTGAAAAAATTGATGTTGCCACCACAAGTGATCAGTTGCTCATGTGTCTGCTTCCAGAAAATTTAATATGGACCTTATCACCGATCCGACTTGTCTGAATCAACGATTGTCCAGTTGATTGCAATGGGTATAAGTTGGTTAATTTTCTTAAGGAGCGATTCCTTGAATCTCAAGAATAATAATAACTGCTTTATGCCAAAATTTGCAAACCTATCTGAGACTATTCCTTTATTCATCCAGATTTCAGTGGGATTCGTTAATCGATTCAACATCTAGTAAAATGAAATATTAGTAAACATTGACTTAATGTCAGAAATGTTTTAATTCGTTTTACTGAATAAACTATATATTTTTCATAATTTGGTATTAACATTTGTTTTTTTTTTAGGGCACAGATGGAAATGAGCAACGTATTGATTTATATCAAATTACATAAAAGTTAATTCAATCGAATTGAGCAAACATTTTTATAGATTGTATTAAGTCCGTTATGTATAGTATAAAAACGAGAGGGTTTTTATAATATTTAAAACTCCCAAGGAAAAGGGTTCTTAATATCATAAAAAAGACAAGCACTTTATAAATTTTGATTTAAGAAATTGTATAATTCTACAGAAGAGATGTTATCCGTCAAAGGTTAGCAACTCATGCCTACAAACTTCGGTTAATCAGCCAGCGACCAGTTAGCTATACTTTGTATCTTACTAGACATAGAAACGTCAGGCGACACCTGTGAATGTAAAATACCCGGAATTTAATTTACATGAATATATAGTACGAGATATAACATCCCATTTGATCTGTGGGATGAAACGAATGTTTTTCTACAGGTACGTAAGGCTTTAAACATAAAACCTCATCCTACGTGTATTCGATCTAGACTTAGCTAATACAATGTTCAACCTTGGGTCCTCAATTCCTCCGTAAGCATATGGCTCAGTAAGCTATTGTGTGCTTTGCGTGTGTGATATCTACGGACAGCTGGCAAGGTAACAAAATGGAGGAATCCCTTGTACAACAACATTACTGTGTGGTCTTTCCAATATACAATCCCCTCAGCGCTTTTTATCCCTGGTTGGCGATGTTTTCAGTTTGAAGACGTCTAGATGTGGAGAGAAATGACGTCAACTGGAATCTTATTAATCGCTTATCTTCAGTCATCGTGTAAGTACATCCCCCATTCGTCATACTTCTTCGACCAAATCCCGTATTCGAGATGCGATGATCGTTAGCCGACATTGTTTTAACTCAATTATGAATGATTGTAACTCAATTATAAATTATCATAACTCAATTATAAATTGTTTTAACTCAATTATGAATTATTGTAACTCAATTATACATTTCATTTACCTCAATTATACATCGTTTTAACTCAATTACAAATTGTTTTAACTCAATTATAAATTGTTTTAACTCAATTACAAATTGTTTTTACTCAATTACAAATTGTTTTAACTCAATTACAAATTGTTTTTACTCAATTACAAATTGTTTTAACTCAATTACAAATTGTTTTTACTCAATTATAAATTGTTTTAACTCAATTATGAATTATTGTAACTCAATTATAAATTATTGTAACTCAATTATAATTATTTTTTACTCAATTATAAATTGTGTTACCTCAATTATATGTTTTAACTCAATTACAAATTGTTTTAACTCAATTACAAATTGTTTTTACTCAATTATAAATTGTTTTAACTCAATTATGAATTATTGTAACTCAATTATAAATTATTGTAACTCAATTATAATTTTTTTTTACTCAATTATAAATTGTTTTACCTCAATTATATGTTTTAACTCAATTATAAATTGTTTTAACTCAATTATAAATTGTTTTAACTCAATTATAAATTGTTTTAACTCAATTATGAATTATTGTAACTCAATTATAAATTGTTTTAACTAAATTAAAATTGTTTTACCTGAATTATAAATTGTTTTAACTCAATTATAAAAATGTTTTAACTCAATTTTAAAAATGTTTTAACTCAATTATAAATTTCATAAGTAAAGAATCTTGTTTTTTTTCAATTTTGAATTGTTTTATTTATAACATTTAAATGTACATTATCTTAAATCAAATCAAAAGAACTTAAACATATCCCAAAAAATACATTTACAAAAAATACTTACTGTGTCCAAAAGAACCATGGAAGGAAAGCAAAATCAGAAGAGAGAAGAGAAACATTTTGCAGAAGTAGTTATTCCTAGACATTCCATGAAGACAATGGTGGACGTAATCTTGAAAATGTCTTAAATAGCGAGGATCACGAGTTTATGAATTGATTTGTATATAGAATATTGGAGGTTTTATTAGTTTAGGAATTTGTATTTTTGTAAATGTTGATATTCAAGTGAAATATTGATGTTGTTAATCAATGATATAAGACGGCGACATCTGTACATTGAAATCAACTGATTTCAGTTTAAATACACCCATAAACTCTGAACTATAATTTAATCTTCATTATACAGATTTAAAGGTAAAGTTGGTCCGAATCTTAATTTAACAGCATCTTCATAATGCCAAACTATTGCGTACTTCGTCTTGAACCTTGAGTGCAATAGCCACCTCCCGTGTATCACAGAAGTTTGAATATTTGATTGGATTGTGCGTTAGCAAATATAGCCAATCAGAATGACTGTAAAAAAGCCATAGACATTGTGAAGATGATTTTATCACATGCATGGTAGACATGTCTCACAGGCCTTGCTATGTATTGCAATTAATCCAATCCAAAATACAAATTCTATTTTTCTAATATTCTTGTCTCCAATGTAATCTAACAAGTTTCTTTTTTTTAATCATTACTCATTTATTATCGATTGATTGATTGTCGATATCGTTTGGACGTGTACAGGGTCACTGACAGGCATTATTAAAGTTTTATTAATTCATGCATACTTGGGGTTATTCAGATGGTGGTCTAGATAAATAACATAGGTTTAATAACTTTAATTTGAGCACGTCCCTATAATTAACAACGAATTGCCCTCTTTCACAGACCACATTAAAATACTACAATTAACTTCCAAACTCCTCTTATTTCAGAATATAAAGAATCGCTATGTGACTAAACAATAGACAAATCGGTCTCAAAGATTATCTTCTAATCCCCTCAAATAGATGAATATATTATATTTTTTCATTGAGTACCTCTGCTTTATTCAAATAGTCAAATTTCTCTCAAATAGTCGATTTCATTGTCCCTTTGTTCCGGGTTGGTCACTCTTTCAGCCCCCTTTATCTGTCGTCATTGTTTCATCCAGTGCGATAAAAATACGTATAAAAACTGTTGAACATCACTGATCATTGTCTTTCTGAATGAGAACTGTCAAGATGAGGATGAGGAACTTTGCTTGTTTGCTATTAATTCTTAGCATATCAGTAGTATCCAGCGCAAAATGTAAGTTTGTTTCATTTAACTTTCTGTGAGTGTTCCTTATGTCTTGCTGAAATTACAAGTATTACAAGAGGAATTTCTAACGGTTTAATCACTCTTTTTTAAGTTTGTCTGGAGTTTTTCGCGAAAGACTTTGCAGAATGTAGAGATACTTGTGATGGTTTTGGCACAGAAAACAACAAATATGGTATATTTGGTTGCTTTGGACCGAAATGTTGCATTCCAGACACGGCAAGTAAGTTTCAGTTTTCATTTTTTTTTGTATTTATTTATTTTTAGAATCTACAGTTTGTAACAGCTTCAGAGCCGACTATTTACCTCATTATTGGGCATTATTTTAACACCAGAACAATTTCCTTGATCATTCATTCATTCATATTTTCATTCATTCATTCATTCCATTTCATTTCCAGACAGACCCAATACAACACAAGCACCAAGTTCACCCTCAAGCACCATGATGACCCAACCCACGACAGTTGCTAAATCCAATGTTCCTCTTAATGAACAATGTGGTGTTGGTAGACTTCCTACTTCTAGAATACTCGGTGGTGGGATGACCAAACCTTGTGACTGGCCATGGCAGGTGTCCGTCAGAAGTCGAGTCAGCGAGCTTGGTGATATTGGTCCTATGAACACGTTTCCATGGTGTAGTGGTGTTTTAATTAGTGATCAGTGGATTCTTACTACTGCCTATTGTGTTATCTTGTAAGTAATATATCGATCTGAACATACTGTATCTACATATTATTAAACGGCGCTCTAGTTATATATTACTTTTTAGCACTAGTTAAGGGAATTATTTTGGTCAACAAAAATCCAAATTTACTTGGAGCATGACGATAAATATATACCGAAACAAATGTTTTTTAGGCAAGTCTCTGAATTGTCGATTGGCACCACTTGTTCCAGAAGGGCGGGCTTGTTCTCCTATGCTATCGACATTTACTACAGTATATATTTTCTTGGACCTTACATTCAGCTAACTTTTCGATGATGTCTGAGCTGTCAGTTGGTTTCTATTGCGGGTCCACGAAACACTCTAAAACCATTGGACTCCGTTGATTCCGTCATCAAAGTAAACCTTCCAGATCTGTAGTGTCAAAGAGCTGTTGGATCCGCCATCTAACTTTCTAGATTGCGGATTCTACAATCATGACCCTCAAGAGCTGATGACGACTAATGGCAATCTTTGTTGCAGATCAATATCATCTGGTAGAAATATAGAGAATGTTTTAGTTACAGCCGGTGAATATAATACTAGAGAAGCTGATTATTCTGGGAGGATGATTAATGAACAGTATTTAAAAGTAATTGATATCAAAATACACCCTGAATATTATAAAACTGATATTAATACCATTACACCTGATGATATCAGTAACACAGCTGATAAAACATGTAAGTTCTTTATAATAAAGTACGATATTACACCTGATGATATCAGTAACACGGCTGATAAAACATGTAAGTTCTTTATAATAAAGTACGATATTACACCTGATGATATCAGTAACACGGCTGATAAAACATGTAAGTTCTTTATAATAAAGTATGATATTACACCTGATGATATCAGTAACACGGCTGATAAAACATATAAGTTCTTTATAATAAAGTACGATATTACACCTGATGATATCAGTAACACGGCTGATAAAACATATAAGTTCTTTATAATAAAGTATGATATTACACCTGATGATATCAGTAACACGGCTGATAAAACATATAAGTTCTTTATAATAAAGTATGATATTACGCCTGATGATATCAGTAACACGGCTGATAAAACATGTAAGTTCTTTATAATAAAGTATGATATTACACCTGATTATATCAGTAACACGGCTGATAAAACATATAAGTTCTTTATAATAAAGTACGATATTACACCTGATGATATCAGTAACACGGCTGATAAAACATATAAGTTCTTTATAATAAAGTACGATATTACACCTGATGATATCAGTAACACGGCTGATAAAACATATAAGTTCTTTATAATAAAGTATGATATTACACCTGATGATATCAGTAACACGGCTGATAAAACATATAAGTTCTTTATAATAAAGTACGATATTACACCTGATGATATCAGTAACACGGCTGATAAAACATATAAGTTCTTTATAATAAAGTACGATATTACACCTGATGATATCAGTAACACAGCTGATAAAACATGTAAGTTCTTTATAATAAAGTATGATATTACACCTGATGATATCAGTAACACAGCTGATAAAACATGTAAGTTCTTTATAATAAAGTACGATATTACACATGATGTAATATGATGATGTAAGTTCTTTATAATGAAGTACGCCATTACAACTTTTGAAGGTATTACAAAGATTGCAGAATGTAACATTCGTCGAAATAAAAACTGTACCATACAGTATCAATACCACTTTTCATAGTTAAAAGAAACGAGAAATCCTTAGTTAAGCCAATCAGTAATAGTGTTCACAGCTCACCGTCGAAATTTGAGCTTTCAAATCCATGTGTATCCAGAATTATCCGACGACTCGTCATTTTAAGCTACTCTGTGATATATAGAAAACAGCAATATAGAATTGTAGGTAAAATTCCCAGTTTGAAGGAATTGTGCGTTTTTCGTACATTTCTAGTACTATTGAAGACTATTTACATATTTTCAAGATTCCCGATATGGCGCATCTGTCTATTTTTCTTAAAGATACAGCGGAAGTTTATACAGTTATCTCTTCTAGTTCTAATTATTTAATCTATGATGATGAAAATGACCAAGAATATCAGCAATTGTATACTTTTGCGAAATAGTAAAGACAATCTTTTTTCGTTTACAGCTTATAACTTTGCGCTCATGAAACTGGAAGCACCAGCAACGATTGGTCAATGCGTCCAGAAGGTTTGTACACCAAAAGTAGAGAGTTGTTGGTCGAAGAAAATGTGTAAGATAGCTGGCTGGGGAAATAAAGACACCGACACAATTGGAGGTAATTTCTTCTGAAGTGCACCTGTTTCCAACTGACTGATGTATGGCAAGCTTGAATGTGCCTCGTTAGAAAAAGACGAAGATCGCTTACTCTTGTTGAGTATAAGCTGTAATGGGTGCTGCGATTGTTAGCACCATTTAGTTTGATTTTGTACGATGATAAGGTCTGACAATTGGACTCGTGTAGAGTTTTGCTGTCTAGTTTCAAGCACATCTTGAAAATCGATCACATGAATTGGTGCTTTATGTTTCAGAAACATCTCTAGAACTATTAGAAGCTGATATCACTCTATATAGTCCCGCTGTCTGTGAAACTATTTATGATATAAATCTAAATATGACAGAAGAAATGAAACCATTGACAACTTGTGCCCGTCCTACTAATCCCGGTGTTAATGTTTGCTTGGTAAGTTTTACTAGAAGGTTTTTATTTGGCATGTAAGTGACTTTAAGTGAAGTCGTGGTTTATCACATGAGGAAGAGACAATTGCATTCATTATTATTGGAGAGTGGAGACTCTGGTGACTGGGGTATTGGATGTATGTATGTATAGGCGATAAGGAGTGGGGACTACATATAAAACCCAACCCAATTTTCAGAGTTGGGAGCAAATGTATAGCTGGTTTAGGGGTGGGGAATACATTCATACAGAATTCGCAATTGGGACTATAGGCATTGGTGTTAGTGAAGTGGGACCACAGATATGAATGATTGGGAAGTGGGAACTTGTCTGAATGGAATTTGAAAAATAAAATGACTTGCGGTAGAATATAACTATTGTTGAACCAATCCCAATATGATTACAAGTTACAGTTTGAACTGTTTACATTACAGGGTGATAATGGTGGTATGGTAGTCTGTAAAGATGAAAACGACAAATGGACGGTTGAAGGTCTGATTAATAGACCAACTGATGAAGCTTGTAAGGCGGATGACATGTTTTTAATATCATATACACAACCTGCTATGGACTGGATACATTCGACTACTGGCATGTAAACCTCATACCCGAACCCACTTTAGGTTTCCAACCTTTTTTCTGTACCGTAATATATTTAAATAAACGTTCTGCAATTCAAGATACCTACGTTTTAATGCTTACGTTTCTATAGGAAAATTAACGCGCCCTACAGAATTTACTGACCTTATTATATAAAACTCTGGGTTATCGCGCGGCAAAAACAAACGAACCATTGTAGTCTAATGACTTAATATTGGGTTGCTTCCCTTCGCTCGCTCAAAGACTCCATTATGACCATACGTGATTTAGAAAAAAGGCGTTGTCATAACGCCTGTCACCAAAAGAAGCAGATAACACAGAATGTGTAGTTGTTGGTAGTCGTGGTGAGTAGGTAGTTAGATCTGATCCATTAGATATTTTGGTACCGTTGATTCGGAAGTGGAGCAATCTGCAGATCTGGTCGGGTCAAAGGTAAAGGCGATCCCTGGCTAGCTCAAAGTTAAATATCAATGATGTAGCCTTCATTTTGTTGGGCCACAAGTTCCATGGACCTGGTTCTAATAATTTTAATACATTGAAATTCTTGTTGAACAAAAACTATTTCATCATCACAACCAGGATGTGTTACAAATCAATATCAGGTGTTAACAATCAGATTCTAATATTTGTTTAACTGTTATACGTTAATAACTTTAAGACTTTAAAAAGTCCAGAATTAGACGTTGTTGATAATTTGTTTAACTCCATCGACACGACTGACCGACATATTGTGTAACATCTATAGATCACTATTACTGAAGATTTTATTGCTATTCTGTATAGTCTCTTTGCCCAAACTAAGAACTGTGACTTCTGGTGGTTATCTCCCCTTACTAGTAACTTTGGGTCCCAAAGTTTCTGATTTGCTCTTGATTAGAACATGATGATCAAGTATTCATGTCATATCCTCTCTATAGAGCGAGCAGAAAGGTACCCTGCTACAAATGTTTGTCTCAAATAAATATAGCGCTGTTTGGTTCGATTTTTGCCCGAGTGGTGATTTGGTGATTGGACAATGGAGTAAAGGTTTTTTGCACATCTGTGGGCGATTCCATACATAAACACGAGGAGTCCACTTCACGTTGAGGTAGCATAAGTGATAATCGACAAAATAGTTTCAATTATCCCCAAAATAAAGTGGACTGAACGAGTTTTGAATCGTACTCAGATGTGCACAAATTTCTGTACTCGACTATAGTATATTGTTAATCACAAAACCAAACTTTTACTGGAAAACACAGACTATACACAAGGAAATTGCGTTGTTTAAGTCATTTAAGTCGGCCTTCGGTCATAACGGTTTCATACACGCTTAATGCACCCATATAGTGTGCGAAGGCCACCTCATTTATTGTATTGTATTGTATTGGTTGTTTGTATTTGCTTTCCGTGACAGATTTCAATCTCACCACACCGAAGATAGAATGTTTTAATGGAAAATGTCAACAAAGAGAAATATGAGCATCCCTGTGTGAAATTGAATTAAATCGAGATGGTGTTATAAACGAAAATCATTAACAAAATCAGACAAATTAAGGAAATGTCTTATATATTGCTATGCACTTAACTGGCTTTGGTACACGGGTTGGTAAATATTGCAATGCACTTTTTTGTACGCGGATAGTGTTGTAGAACTTCACAGATTTGCCTCTATGTACACAAGTTCACGGTCATGGCGAGTCTTTCTGCACTCGTGCATATTGATTTCTGTTAAAAGACAGACATGTTTATTTTTATCCTGCCGGTGTTATTCCTAATTCCTTGCCGAGGTGGGGTTACTTAATTTTTATACGCCCACACGTAAGTATGGGCGTATATTGTGGTTGCCCCTGTCGGCCCGTCGGTCGGTCCGTCCGTCCGTCCGTCCGTCCGTCCGTTCACATTTACCTCGTGCTCACTCTACAGGCTACAATTCTCTATAGATTCTTTTGATCTTTTGTATGTGTGTCAAAATCATTATGAAGATGTGCACTATTGAATTTGGTGATGATCCGATGATTTTCTTCAGAGATATCGCATAAAACTCTGATATCGCGTTCATTTTTTTCACTTATTTTGCTCGTGCCCACCTTAAAGACTACAATTCCCCAAGGATTCTTTTGATTGTTTGTATCTGAACGGTCACAAGTTTCGATCTAAGTCTGTTTAAATAGAAATTATTGCACTTAAGGTCAGTAGGTCAAAGGTCGTGCTTACAGGTCTTTCGTATGCTCGTGTACTGGTGTCTGTAATCGTGTTACAATCCAACAACCACTCCTGGTCGCTTTAGACTACTTTACACAATGCAATCATTCGGCAATAGAAAATAAAATATTATTTATACCACGAATTATTCCGTTTCCTTATATGCATATAGAATACTCTTTGTGATCGGGAATTTTCAATCCGCAAACATAGTCGCACAATAAATTCCCAAAGGCTCTTATTCAGCTACTGGCAAAAATAATACATTGCTTCATTATATGACCAACGTTTCTAATATAAGTTCTCCTTATAGGCTTTAGGAACACGATCTTGAAATACGGTCTAGACACATTGAAAACATAATGAGTTTTTCTTTGATCATGTTTACTTTCAAGTGTAATCAAGAATGTCTGACTTTAAGAAAAAAAACTATTTTCTAGACTTGCAAAAACTAAACATCAACAGTATCAGAATGATAAAGGTTTCAAGGCAAACCTTAGAGAAAATCACAAAAGAGTCAGGATTATAGGGGAAAAGGGTTTATACAATCGATCATGAATCTCAAAAGGAATGGGGTTTTAGAAAGGAAAAAGGTTGAAAACCCATGGGCTAGGGTAAGAGCTGGTAAGGTTAAGATAGCAAGCATGTATGCAATGCTGTTGATTAAGCTATGTCGAAATCAAACTAATGACGTAGCTGTCGCGAAGTCCATTTGATATTAATGGAAGTATTTGCGATGGTGGAGTCAACGGTGAAGAATTTCTGCAATTACAGAAACCTCAGACAGTCCAATGGAATGATGCAAATAAATATAAATATATCATAAATACATATAAAAGCTAGAAAACCTTTTTAAAAACATCTTAAATACTGTTTGTCTTAAATAATGTTTGTCTTAAATACTGTTTGTCTTAAATACTGTTTGTCTTAAACTCTGTTTGTCAGCTGGATAGTATTTTTAGGCGACCTTCTGTGGGAAATTGAAGTCGGTTAGAGCGTTGGTTAGTTCCGAACAAATGGTGGTCATAGGTTCTTATCCTGGTAGGCATGTACAACTATTTCTTAAAAGGTTTGGCGTAGATCAGGATTTACCCAAGGATCAGTTGGTAAACAGGATTCTCGTGAATATAAATGAC